GAATACGCCACCTTCAGTACGAGCAGAGGCTGGAACGTTTGGGAGTATTCCGCTGGCGGTATCATTGACTAAGGCAAATTTATTATGGGGCATTTGATTTTCCACAATCCAAGCCATGTCTGCCGCTCTTTATTGCAACGCAACAGTAACACTAAACTTAGAAGACACTCCTTGAAATTAGCAGTACAATACAGCCACCTGGAGGGCCGTAGAAAACGCTTTTCCATTCGTGAAAAACTCTCTACAAATCTGTTGTTTCAGCACCCAGGCTAGCCATACTTGAAAGTCTGTTGGATGACGCACTCCGCCACTTGTAGTTTGTTACTTGACGGTACTCTCCATCCTACTCCTGGGAAATATCTTGGATTTACGTTTCTTGCCTATTGAAGCTATGGAAACACTCGGAGTGCAAGGCTACTGCATCGCAACCGATGTGTCCATTATTTTGACAGGAAAAATACTAACAGCTGTTTCATTAACCTTTTTTCGCGAACCCATCAGACCACTCAACGAGGCTTGTAAAGCAATGCTTCTTAACCGGTAGGAAACCATTGTTCATGGTCCACATTAGGCGCATTCGGTGGAATCTAGATACAGGCGAGTAGAATGTAAGTGGTGGAATCTACAACTTACAGCAAAATGGATTCAGGGATATTTTCCAATTGTGGGTGGTATATACGTTTAACGGTAAATGTTTTGTGTACGTATATGTACACCATCCACCCTTTCTGGTGCAGCGATCTTTCGAAACAGGTGATAGTTTGGAATCATTAATATAGATTCAAGTGTATCAGAGGAACACGGCGTTTCATTGACGAGGACCGCTTTTTGGTAATTAAAATATGCAAGTGTGTTTATAAAATGAAGTTTGTTGGTTATGGATCTGGCATTAAGCAGAACCACTGAAAATATACTATTTATTAGGGAATAAGTGCAGCCTGTTGCGTGATCGCCTGAGTGTTTGGGTTCCAGCATAATGCACATGGTAAATAAACGCGAGCGTGGTGCGCCCGAATTAGCCATTAGAATGTTTGTTAGTAGGGGCAGCGTGTCACTTGTGATTCCCGAGGCAGTTGGGGTCATGAAATGAACAGAGGCACCATACTTTAACTGCCGTTGGCTTAGCACTGGACTTGGTTTGTCATCTGGACACATTAGAGGAAGAGTGGGATCAAAATGCTAACCTCCGCCGGCTGGATCTGAGGTGGGAATGAGTGCAATTTCTTTATTACCACCGCTAAGAAAGGGTCGTCGGAAGAAACCGCGTGGGGGATTAAATATGCATGGGGCACAGTAGAGGGTAACACTATCCTATCGGCCGATGTTCTTCCGTTATCTGTACGTGTCCAGTGTTTGTTGTATAGCTTGTGATGATAAGCACACCTAGTCAATAGACAGTTGTTGTTAGTCTTATTCATCGGGGAAGATCGCTTTCGCTGGTGTTTTTAGCAGCCTGGTCGATAGGGAACTTTGGGTGCAACTGAGTATTTTGTAGTCAAACCCTTTTTGAATGCAGTGGTCCCTGGATTGAATAAGTTGTCCGTGGTGACAGTGAACTGTGGATTACATTAGGTTGTCTACCCTTGAACCTGCCTTGGTCATTGCGACCGCATTGTGATATAGCCAACTAGTTGTCATTATACCGCTTTCCAAGCACTTATACTTGAAGAGTTCATTTCATTGGCAGTAATGTTGTCAAGAATAGGAAAACTCCCTTTATCCGTTCGTTGTTCGGAAGCCGCTTTAGTGAAACAAGGAAGTACGGCTTTGGAGCTAGTTGACAATGCTGATAGATTATCGAGGTCGAACTCGATGCACCTACTATCTACTTAGGATGCGCTCAACTTCTGGACATCTGGCTGAGAGATCTCAAAGAGCATAATCTTATTTCCCGGTGTGTGCGGCATAGTTCTAATTGCAGACCACTGTATAGGTCTCCTATCCGGTCAAACCAAATTGTTATGAAACTGGGTGTGTAGAGCTAGAATGGGTCCACAATGGAGGAATCGCTGCGCGGGTTCCTCGCTTGAAAATTTGTAGATGCCCGGGCAACTATGTTTCGGTGTTTTCTTTACTAAACTTTGGCACTTTCAATTGGCATCGGACATGGTACACGCTTTCCGTACCGTTAATTTTACCTTATCCAAGCTCAACCTGTCATTACCGTTACAAACAATCACATTTTTTGCTCTATACATTCATTCGTGCAAGTCGAAGTCAAGAGTTGCCTTGCTTTTCTCATACGAATAAGATCAGCCTTTTCCGGTGGGTTACTGTTGTAGTCAGGCGAAACTAGATGATCTTTAAGGGGTTCCAAGTGTGCAGACGATTTTTCATCGCATTAATTGGTGCTTCCAAAGAGAGCAAATTATCATTCGGTTCGGAAATGAGGTTTGCAGAGGAACAGATTGGCATTTTTCTTAGGACCAGGCATTTTACTCGCCATGAGGTAGTGTGTAAAGTACACGACGTTCAGCTTTCGGAATACGAAGAGACTTTGGTGGGGCCATCTCACTCTAAGCTGCGCAGGGTTCAGGCTCAGGCGCCAAGGTAAAATACCGCAATGAAAACCAGCCTTGTGTGGTTTCACGCAGTCGGATATTGAGTGTCCGGTTAGTTTCCACGGTTACCTTTGGCGATGATAGCCACCGATGTCAATTCATCGAACATAACAAGACGAGCACTTAATGTCAGGGGGAAGGGCAGTTGAATCCTGCGGGGTTGGGCCTGGCGATGGAGTGGGACAGTTGCCTACACACACCCACACAAGTGTATGCACGCGCGCTCGAGGTCAGGCGGCTGGTTTTCTGAACTCTGCTAGAGGTGGCGCACGCTAGTCACACAAAGCGGGAATAGACGATGTGTCGATCAATAGCGCTTGCGACAAACCGAGAAAGGTAGTGCTTTGCGTAGCTGGCATCCAGATTATCAGCAGTGTACTGGTGGCTTCAACGTAGGATGCAGTGGCTACAAACGGTATTGAATGAGCACGGGCTTAGGCTAATCGTATAGCCTGGAAAAGACTCTTTTAAGTGCGCGTACAATATGCAACGGAAGTTGATAATGAAGCAGTAACGCGCTTGAATTTCCATACAAACCTTGTTCAAGTGGGCGAAAGTGAATAGGAAGTTGAGACGTTCGGCACAATCCGACAATTTTATATCCACCTTGTGGAGCTAATAAATCCGAGCGTAATGAGTGCATACTCGATTAGGGGCAGTACAATAGTGGGGAAGGATCCGCATAATAGTTATGAGCTCCGGGCTGGGCCGTCCGCACGGCAGGTGGTTCACGAAATTTTACATAACAATACAGAAATGCGTGTAGAAGCGCCGTTAAGCTGCATCACTAACATTGATCCTCATTTATGTATCCTACAGTCCATCAGCTTGCGAAATATTGGTTTTAGCTTGCAAATTCCATAACGGCCAACGGAAGTGATCTTCCCGTTGTTATAAGATGACACACATAATAGCGCATCTAGGATATCCACTTTACTTAGCTATCAGTTTTTCTTGGATCGCATAAAGTTACACAACTGAAATGCTATCAGACAGAGACACTGTTGATACGGTTCGTGTTTTGCGACATTGATGCGCCTATGAAGTCCTAGATAAACTAGGCTATTCTAACCTGATAATCTTGGTAGCTGAGTTATCTTGCTGCACTAAAAGCTCAAAGCTAAGGAACTTGGACTGAAAGTATGGGAGTGTACAGTGCAAGTTATAATCATCCACCTGGTGACTACATTTCATTTGCTAGGTTTTGAGAAACCCCAGTCAGATTATTCGTCACCCGATGAAATTTCGCTATAACTCCAACTTAACAGGCCATCAGCTGAAGTTGGACTGCATGAGTTCCGGTTGAACTGCTATAGTATTTTTCTCATTCTGCTTTTAGTTGTAGAACGCTGTTCTGACTTGCGTCAGTTCTAGGCCAACATTGTCCGCATTTTAAGGAAACTCTATGATGTTTTAATCAATTTGCCTTACGTGATGTTACCCACGTTCCCTGGTTGGCGAAATAACGAGGCACACGTTGTGCTCATCGGTCTCCCGTTAAATCGAGGCAGGTGTATTTCCCTTTGTCTTGACGTAAATGTTCATTATGTGTCTACAGAATCGTGGTGGCTCCTTCTCGCGAAACTTTCTTCGAAGTCAGATTGTTCACCCAGACTATCTTAAGTAACCTTTAAGTTTATGCTTTTGCCCTTATTGTATCATTGTTCGATGTCCTGACGCCACCTTCATAGGCATGATAGTTCTGAGTCGCAGCATCAACATATGGCAGATTGAATTAATGAATATCCGATAATAGCAACTCTAGAGCTGTGAAATTTTCTGCTATTCAAGTGCTGAAGATACAAAATTATAACTAGCGACCAGAGAGTATTATTGGGAGATCGGGGACATTGTTCGACGTAGTAAGTACAGAATACAAGTAACATATCTCAGATGAAAAAATCGAGCATACAGAGTGGAAAAGTTAGACCGGAGAGTTACTGAAATTTGTTTTGAAAATGGGTTTTGGAAGGACCGCATTGCCCACGCTTTGTTAATCTCGAAAGCGGATTGTGTTTGAGGTGCACTTTAGCCAAATTGGTACTCAGTCGCTACTAAATTCCTCGAGGGACTACATCAACAAATTTGCATTGTTGCAGTAAAGCAGGGATATACTATTAAGTCTTGCGCTTGTTCTTGGAGGGGACATATCGACCTGTAGTCTTTTTACTATTGATTTGTCTTAATACTGGTAAGATCCAACTCCTCCTTAGAGCCTGTGTTCAGTTAAAACTGCAAAGTTAAGGGAATTTATAGCCTTTTCATGGCATACCTTAGGTGTTGACCGTAAACTCTGGTTTGGCTTCAGAGCCTTACACTGAATAATTCTTGTGATGTGCACTGACGTTTCTCAATTCACTTTGCTCTAACGTAAACCGATATTCACTTAGCCCATAGATAAAAATGTGCCTAAGCTTTGCTAACTTCCTTACCTTATAGGATATCCTTGGAACTATAGAAGATAACAGAAAGGCATTAGAAATATGCAGCTATTTGTTGAAACACCTGGGATCAGTTTATCATCGTATACAGCGAATCCGAAGACCGGACGTGGTATATGCGCGCGTGTTAATCGACATGCCTTCAAGCAAGGTTGGTTGGTCTGTTTAAATGTCGCAATAACGTTGAAGTTTTTGGCGCAATGTACTCGAAAAATTCCCACCATGGCTTACTTCTGTACTGTACTTCAAACAAACAAACTGGTGATCCTAGCAACCTTGCTTCTGGCACCAGTGAATAAACCACCATGTGCTTGAATAGCCTACAGTTTTTCACTATACTTGTGCCACAAGTATACAACATTTTATGTTCGGATATGGAAATGTTAATAACCAAGTTCCTTAAATAAGTCAGGCAGAAATCTTCTATCCTGAATTCGACAAGGGCGATAAAATGGTGGGGGACGTTCTGATGATAAAGGTTTACTCCGGGTTTACCTAAGAGCATTCAGCTGCGAGACGTATCATTAGTATTTATTCCAGTGCTGCTAGTTACGGTACTTTTAAATACTTCATCCAAATCGAGTTGGATAATAAGATTGAGCGAGACTCACCGACAGCGGCAAGCAGGGTCAAGGCAGCACCGCATGCGGTATTGTGAAGCAAACCCGTGGTGTTGGTCAGCTCAATTAGGCTCACCGACTTTTAGGTGTATGATAAATTCACTCTTTCAGTTAGGTTGTCGACCGTTGATCTTATTCACCGGACGTTGTCAGCCACGTAATAATATATGTTAGGAAATACGACCTGGGTGTGGTGACATCTCACTGACGGCTCCTACCGTATACTTTGAGTTGCTTGCGCGGCAAGAGAGCGGGTAAATGGGCGCGCTTACCAGCAGTCTGCAAGCCCATGAAAACAGAGGACTTAGTGGATAAATATAATGTCAGCATGTATAGGTATATATACCACAAAAACTACTGCATGTAGCTACCATTACGTGTGCTCACAAAATATAGCAGCTTCTGAGTTGCCTTTGGATCGGTTTGTTCTTACATTGTGCATATTACCAAAACTTCAGTGTCAAGTATAATAGGCGTGTCCCAGATGTCGTATGCATCAGAGGCAATTAGTCCCGAAGCCAGTTGAAGCGTGATTGCTTTTTGGTTACTTAAACACTAATTAAGTGAGACCAAAGAGCAGTATGGGAACAATTCAAAATGAGTTAATGAAACATTGAAGCAACCCAAGTGGCATGCTACGGTACAACCTACAAAGACTACCTAATCAAAAAAGTAGATCAGTTTTACAATGAAGTTGTCTTAAACTACTATTTTGCTGCTTTCATCTTGTGCCTTATTGCTTTCCCTGCAACTTCCTGAACAACACAGTGCAACTACACATTCAAAGCAGAGTTTGCGGGAGTTAATGCAGCTCACTTTCCGATAGCTCATCAGGCTTCATCTCATTAATCGACCTAACTCTTACGTATTTCATGGTAAATTGAATATATACTTTTCTGCATTTTTCTCTAGTATCCTGTGGGATTGAAGGCAAACCAGTGTTGTATCATAAGAAGCAACCGCAATCCACACTTGTGGTTGGTGAGTCCCAAGAGTGCTCACTCTTTGCGAAAAGACTTTAACATTAATCGAATTGCTTCAATTTCCACTTTTTCCTGCTGATTGTTTTCTTTCGGTCACGGTTGACAGATTGAGATTTCTCTTGAGTGCCAATGTACACTGAAACATTGGTCATTCATTGCTCCGTAATCTAAAGCTTAATAAGTCCCACCGGGTAGGAACTAACAAGTTTTTAAATAACATAACAGCACGAATAACTCACGTGTAAATTGAGCTGTCGTGATGTTTGCTTACCTTTTATATACTGCTGTCTTGATTTATAAAGCATTGGTGTAAACATACGGTTTGTTGGCGGTAGGACGCTTCGGTGCACTACGTGATGCATCAAAGACTGTAGCGCGAAGCCGTTTTGGTTACCGAAAATGACGAATAACAGGAATTAAAAGAGTCTACTGCGGTTAACATACGCAGGGGGGGAATCAGTTTCGGCAACATACCACCAGGCTATAAGGTGCACCCGGCGTAAACTATGGATAGTCTGGTCGGTTTGTGGCCTACTTTGAACAGGCTGCCGTTATAGTGGCTCAGCTTTTTACAGTTGTATACACCGATTCTGTCTACTACACTCATACAGGTTTCAGCTTGGGTTCATGTGGCAAGCGGAACAAACTTTCACACCACTATGTTACACCAAGCTAACCTAATGGTTTTTAGGTGAGAGCGGCACCGAAACCTTGCGCTTCAGATACGATCCCAAATACACGGAGCTGAGTGCGATAAGCAAAGGTCTTATGAAATTATTAGGGTTGAAACACTAACAACAGTTTGAGGGGCGTATTAGGGTTGGCATACCCGAAGGGAGAAGTAAGTCTGTCTACCCTCTAGACGACTGTAGTATTGGCTTAATTTCAAGCTGTTATTCCTCAGCTTTGCGTTAAGGTCAAGTTTCGGAATATGGCATTATACGTGACTGTAATGGTTCAATATTTATTATAGTAACATGTCTCCACGTAGCCGTCTTTAGCATACCCTGAACACTCCGAGGTTATTGGGTCATTTTTTTGTATTGAGCTTGGTGAAAATCTTTAGCATTCCGTTGCCTGACATTGTGGTGTCGCGAAAAATGCTAGATCACATTTTAGCCATAGTCGTCACGCGTGGATTGCGTTTTCAATGTGGGGACGCATGTAAACATTGAGCATCAGAGGGAAGATGGTAGAATCCAAAGTCCCTTATGCCCTTCGCATGAAGCCAACCGTCTGGTTACCAATTGCTGACGCGCACTCAGGCAGTATAGAACAACCGAGGTTGTCCTTTACGAGCACACCGAGATCGCGTTCCGGAGCGCTTGTCTGTAGATCTTGCGTCCCAAGCCCGTGTGTTTAGGCGTGTCGGTGGAAAAGATGAACAACACGGCTTCAAAGCAAACTGCAGCCTCAATCGCGTTTGCGTGTTGCAATCCAGACACAGCTGTACTCCAAGACCCAATAATAAACTTGACACTTGTAAACACCGAATGGCCTCACATTCCTGCATGACTAATTAAAGGCCTCATACATGTCGCAGTGGAGGAGCTCGTGGTCATCCAACCCCTTGATTGCCCACCCAATTTTAACGTCGTCCACTAAGAGCAACTCTTTGACGTGGTAGCTCCAGCTAGGTAGTTAATGGAGATTAACAACAGAAAAGACCAAAGTGCTGAACCCTGCGGTACGCCGCACATGATTACAATCGGGTCGAAAAATTTCGTGCGACTACTTTTCATTTGGCTTTAGCGGAGGAAGATACAAATTTATTGTAGTGCTGGAGCTCCGATTCCATATTTCCGAGAATTATGAAGGAGGATGTGATAATCAAAGCGCTCGAATGCTTTTGAATTTTCCACGTAGATGACATTGGTTCTCTTTCCCTCGTCAACTACTCCGGTCTTATGTTTGCGTGCAAACAGCAGGTTTGTAACACAGAATCCATTTGGAAATCCCGTGCTGTTCCTGCTTAACGCTGTGTACTCGTTGATCGCAACTATGACCTTGGCGAGCACTGGGAGAAGCGTTAGTGGGCGGTATTTGACAATGTCATTTCGATCGTCTCTCCTGTGAAGAGGGGGGTTTATACCAAGTTGCCAGTTTGATGAAACTATGTTTTTGTCTAGCTTCGCTGAAAGAACCCGGTAAGTGTTCCGACTAAGTGGATTCTGTTATCTGCAATACTTTCGGGTGAGTGTTAGCTGATCTATAAGAGCCTTGAGTGCATGCATAGCAGCTTTCTCAGCAGTGTTTTTCTACTAAATGTGATTGATTAGACCTGCTAGCGAAGTGATAGTAACAAAAATAACATTGGAGCCTTGAGTTTCTTGTAAGGTGGGAAAGTACTAAACCCGTAAAATGTTGGCTGCCTCTCTCATTGTAGTTGTATGCCCACCAACCGTAATAAGTGGTGAGATTTCGCGCTGCAATCTAGGAAGTTTACAGAGGTGTCTGTAATGAAGCTTATTTTTGAACAGAATCGTTTTGCCAGCTCCTCTTTGTGTGTTAACGTTCCTGCACGTACTAACTGAACACAGTAGTTTGGTTGAGCTACGTACGCTATAGAATTTTGTGAACACACAATTATTGTATGTCCTTTATCTTAGGGCCACCTTTTGTTGTTGGTAAAAAAAACTGGAGGTTATAGTGTTTGACCGGGTGATTGGTTAGGGGTACCAGAAGAAAAATGATCAACAACTGTCAACAAAAACAAAGCAATGAACTTATCGATTTAACTGTTTTCCATGTAGGAAGTTGTAGCCCTAAAGCAGCGTACAGCGTTGAATTACATCTGTTTCGCATTCACCCAGTATGCATTTCCGTTACAATGGAGCTCTTGAATTAACGCCGGATGCATTTTACAGAACTTACCATTTCTGTCTGCATTGCCTAGATCACTGTTATGTGCAACAAACACCATCTTCTTCATTGACACAGATGTACCAACAGCCGCACTCATCAAACCAAGCAGACCGCTTTAAGTTTATTGACCAGGTAGTGTTATTACAAAGGCATCGGTCACCTGTTCTTTCATACGATGCCACATGTCTGACTTACCGGTGAAGTAGACCTCATCATGCAGGGACGCCAATGCACTCTCCAGTTTATGTCACTTTTTTAAAGGTACCCAGGAAAAGAACACTGACTTTCCGCCTATTCATGGTATAGAACAATGACTAGATATCCGAATTTAGTATAATATATATTTTTATGCGAAGTTTTGCTTCAACTCCAGATGAGTTCCACTCTCTTCTTAACACTGTACAAATCGGACACCAACTCCACGTGCTCCTTTGGCGCAATATCCCACTCCGCAGAAAGTGTGACTTGCATCAGCAACTTGTAGCCTTCCTACGTAAACCAGCAGTTTCCACTGATTGCGGAAATATCATGACCGCAGCAACCAAGTTCCATGGCGGCCACTGCATCATATCGCTCGGGGCGGTCCTTGATGTTCCAGTTTGGCAGTGTGCGCAAGTTCAAACATCCGATATTGAGCGCTTTCAATGGAGACAAAATATTGCACCGGCCTATCGCTGGTAGATTAGGCCAGACAAAATGGGGGTTGGGATGGTCGAATGTGGAGGGAAAGGGAAGAAGTAAAAAGGGAGACACCAATGATGGTATGTTTTCGACATCCACCCGTCTGCATGCAACATACAAGGCTACTACTTGCCCTGCTGCGCGATGACCGATGCAGAATGAGATTTTGGTAGTTCTTCAGCTAAATCTTTCGATTTAAAGTACTCTGAAAAGACTTCGGGAATTATATCAAGACTTTGTCGGTTTGCGCAGATTTGCCCTGACTCTTAACTAGAAGTAGGTTATAAGTATACTACAATCCAGCGTTTGCCATGAAGACTCATCCAACTCATAAGCCTATGGCAGGAACTGGTTATAGATCTGTTCGAAACACCTCCACATGCCTTACCGAGTCACAGACTATCCCACCCAGATTATCCATTTGTACAACCATAAATACGGTTTATATGATGCTTAATCAAGAAATGTTTGCTTGATGTTCAAAAATACACATCCCATTTGTGAAGACAAGCAGTTTTTAGACAAATGCTCCAAATATTTATATTACCTTATTCCACAAGTACAAATTCACCCGATTTAAACCAGTCATTAGAGAAGCAATAACTTTATTGCCCAACCAAAACATTTTCCTTTTATTTTATTCTATCTACAACATACAAACAGCTTGAGGGTTATCCTCATGCCGTACCGTCACTGTTTTTGGAGGCATCTACAGAATTCGGTGAGCTGCAAATACTCGAAAGGTTTGTTGATTTAGACACACTTGTTTGGTACTTTGATGCTCTACTCCTGTGCCGAATCAAGTTAAATGTACTTTTATGGAAGATATATTTGACAGCCTACGTGAGTGTGCTCTGTCCACCGTTGCTAAATTATTTTCATGGGAATGAGTTAATTGTGAACTAGTGGCTAAGCGGTGCTACTCGCTTTCCAAATGCTTCATTATCACGTTATTTGCTAACGCTGTTGGCGTATCTACGCTGCGATCCGTCGTATTTTCCCGAACAGCTGTTCTGCGCTTTGTACTTAAGGTGACATTTAAGCAGACGCCTACAAGGTTTATTGGTACAAGTAACCCTAACTTCTGAGATTTATTTCTAGTGCATTGGAAGCCAGCGGAATTATTCTGAGGACAACGTTTTTCGTTTTCGGAGCAGTTATCCCGAGTTCAGTAGTGGCCGCTGAAAATGATCATTTGACACAGTAAAATGTAAAATTTTACCAACTCATGGAGTGAAATAGGATTAAATCTTTACACAATTAAACGACTTATCCCATTTACTTACACCTACTAAAATCTAAGTGAACGGGGTTTTTCGATATCTAGTATAGAGAGAAACCGGAAGACAAGTATGCATACTGTGTAGTTGCAAATACGTGCCTATCGAGACTAAACCCAGCGAATTAGTCTCATGTAGGTATTTAATACGGTGTCGCAGACTGCAACTGAAGCACCGTGTCACACAGAAAAGTTTAACCTGTTTCCTTGTTCTGTGAAGGGTATTGCAATTAAATCTCTCTTCAAACCAGTTTTCATTTGTTCACGTCGATTAAGAATATTAAAATGATAACCTCATACCCACATTTTCCTCATGCAGCTGGCCAAATTATGCACTAGACCGAGGTTAAGATAATTTGCAGCTAATTCTATACAACTCCTTATAAGTTGTCGCTATGAAGTTAAAATGCCCATCTTTCCGATAAACTTGAAGCTGTTATTTAGTTCCCATTCTCTACCAAGGTGTATGTCGAGGAGTTAATTGTATGGCAACCTCACCTTTTATTCAGAACAGGCTGTTTAGTAAATACGCGTTGTCAGAACAGTCAAGAGTACTCCAGCCGTTTTGTTACTATCCATAATTGTAATCTAGAGATACCCAGCGCCTCAGCTTAGAAACAGATGAACTAGTATGAAGAATGTCGGTGTATCCACTTTCCATGTTCTCCGAATATGTCACACTGTAGCACTAAATATGCAAAAAGCGTCACGCCAAGTACGCAGAAGGTTTTGGTTTGTTAGCCATTTGTGCGACAAAACCGCCCTTTAATGTTGCTTCATTTACATAGTAGGTACCAATACGACAAACTCAGTCGTGAATCAGTTGATGGATTGAAACTAAGGACCTCTTAGTTACTCAGTTCATTTTGTTTCCCTATATGAGTAGGACGATGCACGATGTATAAATTGCTTCATATTGGCGGCTACCTAACTGCTTTTCGTTGATCACCTTACTCCTGTAGGCTTCGAGGACGTTTCGATGAGTTCTTAATCATGTGCCACGGGAGATGCCGACGACAGTTATACGCCAAATTAAAAAAGCAGTCTAAGTGTTTAAAAGTGAGTACTGATATCTGTGCCTTGTAGTTGTCCACCCTGTGTTTGCCTACATTTAACTCGTCCGGGGATGTGATAAGCATATCGACGTCTTTCACACCACACATTTACCAAAGTTGTATTATCTTGACGCAAATAACAGATTTTGGTGGACATAGAGTTTTCTCTGATGGTAATGCGAATGTCTAGAGGGACACACAAATGAATCCAGGTACAAGTAAACAGCTTGCAGTTTGCTGCTTTTATTTCAGCAACAAACCAGATCTTATGGCTACAAAGAGGAAGTGCTAATAGATTCTTCAGTACCAACAAAACCTTAGCAAATAGTCCGGCTTAGTGTACCAGTATCAAACTTGTAGCTGGGAAGAACTGCGCCGCAAAAGCCAAAGACACCCTATCGGTTAACCGTTTCAAGCCAAGTTTCAAGTTCATATAAGCCATTGTACGGTACATATATCTGTTTGTAAAAGATGTTCAATAAGTTAGAGTAAAGTAAGCGAATAATCAACCGTCTGGTTGGTATATCCATAGGTACAGATAAATATAAAAGGAAGGCGCAGTATATCATTTTTCGATTTCCATGATTTTGTGCATAACGTACAACAAGGGAACAGAAAAAGCAAAAATATCATGGAAAATAACTGGCAAAAGTTTGAGAAAAGTCATGTATTAGGAGTGAGATGACGAAGTAATTGCATGAAGAATGAGTAAAGCGTAACGGTTGACTCATCGAAGTTTTCACCTTAACACTGTTTGATCACATTTATCGCGTCCTAATAACGGGTTACATCGTGTAATGCAATTGGTGGAATACATCGTCAGGCAAATATTTTCTAATTCAGCGAAAGCCAGAGCGGAGACATCGGAATACAGAGGGTTGTTCCACGACTGGGATAAACGAATGGAGAAGCACTTCCGGCAGCATTCCTACCGACTATACTGTGTGGTCAAACCCAATTTATCCCCCCTCGGTAACGTGTTGTTGCTGTCTCAATAAGTGCTGGCATGGGCGGAGGATCTGATACACCCATATATAACCACCCTGCATACAACGATATTGTTCACTGAATCTCCTAGTCTTTAGTCTAAACTAGTAATGAAGGCTAAGCAAACTCTTAGCAACTCAGTTGTCCCCGGTTATGGGTTCTCAAGAACAGAGCGGTCATATTATTTTCCCAATTGTGCCACCTCTGGATAGTATATCCTACATGTGGTCTCACGTAAGCGTTGAGAACTTGCAAAAAGAAGGTAGGATTAAACTGACCAAACGCTCTCCACTGTAGGCCCAAATGTTAGCTAGCATTCTCTACTGATTTTTCAGGCTGTCCTGAGCATCCGTGATCGTTCTGCACGAGCATCCTAAGATCTCATTCATGGGAAGTGCGTTACAGAACGTGCTGTTTCAGCTGACATTCGTAGGTTCACTGGTGGCTTTAAACTTCAGCGAGTTTTAACTTGACCAATCGTAAACCCTGTTGAGATCACCTTGCAGTGCTATGTGGTCGTTTACTACATTGATTGCTTGCCAAATCCTGAGGTCGTCCTCAAAGAGTAGACAGGTTTTGATTCAATCAAAGCGCGAGGTCGTTGATGAACACTAGGAATGGCCGCGGTCCTGAGACCGAGCCTTGGGGGCCGTCACGGTACATCTCTATCGGGTGAAACAGTGCATTACGAACTGGCAACTTCTGATGGCGTTGTAGTGGAAAGTAATTTATTTAGCCAAAATTGCAAACCACCGATCTCATAGCTTCGAAAATTGTAAAGAAGAAGGTGGTGATCTGGGCGAGCAAAGGTCTTCGAGAAATCAAGGAACGCAGCGCCAACTGCTTCCATTGTATCGATCGATTCCTTCAAGTTGGCACAGGTAAGCTGAGGGTTCGTAATACATTAAGAGTTTGGGTGGAAATCATGCTCCTCCTGCATGGGTATATTGCATCAATCCAAACATCCGATTGGTGCTTCTGTGACGACAGATTCCATAACTTCAGCAAGCACCGGAAGAAGAGTAACCAGGCGGTAGTTTGTGGGTACAGCACGATTGCCCATCTTGTAAATAGAGATGACTATTCCGCGGCCCAGAATAGTCGGGACTCGCATCATCTCGAGACATCGCTAGAGAAACCGATACAGCGGTTCAGCCGAGCAGGTGTCAGCAATCTATAATGAGTCCGGGCGTAACTTGTTCACCTTCCAGGGTTGCTCATTTGCAGTATTTCGTTCTCCAATCAGTTAACTCTTACTCTGCTGTGATACAAACTACACCGGCGAACAACCGCATACTAACTTGTCACTGACACACCAATCGTAATATTACCATATAAGTGTGCACCGCAGCAATGGAGCAATGTTTTCTGACGGGTATGGAAACTAATGCTTGACGAGTGCCTTTGGATGGTTAAGCTGAATAGTACCAGCTAAAGGACAGCATCGGTAAAAGAACGTTTGACTTACTTAACTCATCAAGGGGTTTGCATTAGCACGTGTGTGAGTATTCCTGTCTCCATTTTAAGAGATATGCTAGAGTCCAGCGTTCTTTCTACCCTAATGTCATCATTTTGCATAGCGTAAATGGGTCCAGTTATCGTCAAGGAAATTTTTGAATAGAGATAAGTTGAGGGCACTAATTACATGTACCTGAAGGGCGTTATATGGCTGTGTGACTCGGAGGGAGAGAACGTTATATCGACATTCCAGTGGACTGCATTGCAAGGCCAATTTAAACTGATGACAGTTCAGAAATGTGTTTTACCTGAGTTTCAAATAGCTTTGCGTGTGTTTGGAGTTTTTGAGGAACTGAATCACCTTTATGAGGTTTCCGCGCAGACATCGAGTACGTCATCTGTACACCTTTAGTCTCCTGCTTGTGTGGGTACTGAAGATGGGAAAAACCTCTGAGGTTTTTTCGCCGCAGTATGGAGCGTGTTGAGGTGGTGCTTCCGCCAGGCTCATCACGCTTGGATAGCGTATTCCACATGCAGCCTGACGTATACGCCAGGCATTTTTGGAAAGACTGGGGCATCAAGCTTCCCAAACGTATAGGAAGAAGGCCAATGTGCTGGTTTATATTTTTGTTGCATTTTCGGTCTACCACAAACAACCAAGATCATCTTGCACAAATACGCCGCGCTCGCAATCATGAGAGGCGCACTATAGAATTTGTAACCCTAGCCGTTAATTGTTAGTGATCTGGAGTGTATGCTGAGATCTTTGCATTTTGTGCGTTTGAACTGCTGCATGTTTTTGATGGACCATGTGTACGTTGTGTCCAGATCACCTTATAGAGCTGTGTGAATCTCCTATGTAGCGTTAGCACGTCGTGTCTTTGGATCATCAGCAAACTTTAAGAAGTTTGATGATAGCACCCTCTAGAGAATATATTAATAAAGATCAGGAGCAGGTGGGGTCCGAGTAACGAGCTTTGATGCCAACCGCACCTGACTCCGATTGGTTCGCATAGGGTGCTGACAACCCTCACATTCAGATAACCTTAAGCGATCATTTAGCTATCCAGCCCCGAACAGGGTAATCTATTACATCTCTTAGGATTGTGCAATAGAATGCGATGACCCAGATGGTCGAATGCCTTAGAGAAGTCCAGGTAGGCGGCAATCACTCCTACACCATCATCTACAGATTCCATCCAGCATGCAGGAGCTATCAGCAGCTTAGTAGTGCATGACCGATTTTGGCGAAATCCGTGCTTTCCCGGAGCCAGCATTTTATTGCTCACTAGGTACCTCAGGAGGGATTCATACGACAATAAACTACATGGTCTTGGAGATTGTCGGAATTAGTTTTATCGCGCGTTAATTCATTGGTTCTGTAAAGCTGCTGCTTTTGTAGCTTGGAGTGATTGTCACGTATGTCTACATTTTGGAAAGTTACATCTCGGTAAGACATTGTTTAAATAACATTACTAGCGCTTCAGTTAAATTCCTGACAGCCACTTTCAAAGCCTTTGTGCGAATACTGTCTGCACAAGGTGAGCCCTACTCGCACAAGGACATCTGCAGCTTCAGCACATATGTGGTTGTAAAGGATACGTGGTTGAGTCTTGATGGCAGCATGATCTGCGTGGGTAGAATGTAATATGATGGTACAGATTGGAAGTTACTACCGAATAGTTGTCCAAGAACGTTCGACGTCTCGTGCCGTTTGTGCTAACCCACATATTGTGTACAGCACAGGAATTCAGCGCTTAACCCTGCGAACTTTATTTACATGTCTGTATAGCAGCTTCGATTAGAGCAAAATTTCGTCACGAAACCTTGTTGGTTTTTTACATTGCCCTCGCAGACTAGCTTGAGGCAATGGTTGCTTTGTGGTCTTTAGACATCCCAGTTCCCGTCGCTCGGAGAGACTTTGTGCGTGAACAATGCTAAGTCATTCAATGTTATGCATTTACGAATCCTGCTCCTTAGGAAGGCCTTCATCGGTTTTGAGCTGTGGATTTTGGTTTCAGATGTGATTATCACGATACGAATGAATCTGTTGAGAAATTCCATGCAGACCACGTCAGGGGAAATACGACTAGGAAACACCAGCTTGTTGTGCTAATGAGTTTGGACAGGTCCTCATGGTTGGTAACGAGGTGACACTCTTCGGTAGTTTCTTTAGGATGTTCTGCGTGGCACATGTTGTGAAACACTAGTGTCGCATGATCGCTGCGGCTCAGAGGAGTGTACGTTTTTGCTACGTCGACCTTGAGTTCCTCGTAAAAACACGTCCAAGATTGCCGGTTTGTTTTTTGTTCTGCAACGCGGTGTAGAACTCACATGGTTGTACAGCGGTGAACCAGCGCGTAGCTCTTGTGGTTCCCCCTCGAATTGTCCACAGAGAGTGGCCAGCGTTTCTATGTCTTGCATTGTTAATACCTCTGTCAGCAGAACATGGTTGTAAGATCGTGCCAGGATGTCCTACATAGTGGATGCTAGGACCTGGTCCATTTCTAATGTGGACATTAGTGGGTGGTATACAACGGCCACTAAGCATAAATCACC